GCCATCAACATGCGTGTCTGGTAGAATGATTTGACTACTGAGGCTACTCAGTTGGGTCAACTATCAGAAGAAGTGGGGTAGGCGTTTGGATTAAGGCAGTTAAAAGCTAGGCGAGGTTCCTCGACACCAGCTTAAGTAGTTTTACAGAATCCTAATAGGTCAAGGGCCTGTAGGCAGGTAGAACCTAACCCAAGGGTGTCGAACTCCGGTACTCAAGGGCCGCAATCCTGCAAGTTTTAGATGTTCCCCTCTTCCAACACACCTGATTCAAATGATCAGCTCCTCATCAAGCTCTGCAGAAGCCTGATAACAATCCTGATCATTTGAATCAGGTGTGTTAGAAGAGGGAAACATCTAAAACTTGCAGGATTGTGGCCCTCGAGGACCGGAGTTCGACACCCCTGAAACGGAGACCTGGACCAGTGGCCCTTTCACAGGGGTTTACCGGCGCGGATCAACAGTACCCATGACAAAGTTGGCAAGTCCTCTAACATTAGTAATAAATTTTAACCCATCACATCACGATTTCTCCTGACCTTATCAAAGCCATCGGTTTAGGATGTTTTCAGCCCAAACGGCCATTATCGTTACCTTACATATGTACCAGTAGGGACTTTCTCCAAATTGTAGTAGACTCAGTATCCCGCATTCAGTGGTGCGATGTTCCCCTCTTATTTAATGGCAATGAAGCTGCAACTCTGAATTTTAAAAATGCATTTAGAAGTTGGAGGGATTGATGGTGGCATAAATCGATGGACTGTCACCCATGAGACTTGAGCTTGAGTCCCATGTCAGACCATCATTATAGTATCATTTCTTTGTAGGGATTTATTTGCACCAAGTCGGCACTAAAACCACTTGGTTTAGAAAAGAATTATAATCAGAGTTAAAATACACACTGTTGCTACATTTATCACGTTACAAAAGCTCAGTTTTTTATGATTCTGGATTTTATGACTTTACTAGTGATTGTGCTTGCATTTATACCCACGACTGGAAGAAGTCACCCACAAAATCTGGTTTACTTTCTGTTCATCAGTGATCAGAATGGATAATAACTCACTCTCTGGCTTTCTAAAAGGTGGAGGACTGGTCCACATGTATGGGAGTAAGCGCCAATGATAATGTCTGCTTAATTGGGTGTCAAAGCACTGATTTTGACATAAAAAAATATGTTGTTTTCATGTTTCAATTCAATTCAATTCAATTTGTATAGCGCAGTTTACAACACACATTATCTCACAGACCTTACAAATTTATCAGAGAACCCAACAATCCAATGCAACAGTGTCGTTATTAATACTTGTCAAACAGGGTTGTTTTCCCATGACCAGCAATGGCAGAAACCATGAGAGATTGTTCTTAACCACATCAAATGGCTCTTATGACGTCCGAAAGATCCAAGAATCTCTCTCTGGAAGAAAAGAAGGACTATCTGCTCTTCTGTCACGCCTTCACAGGGTGTAATATGGTTTCTGCATTCGCTGACCATGGGAAAACAACTCTATTTGACAGGTAATAATAATAATACAATTTGAGATAAGTTTAAGATAAGTTATGCGCTTATTTATCTCACAGTGGAGAAATTCACATTGTTGTCAGCAGCAGTACACGCACAGATACACACGAGTATAAAAATACACATATAAAAAAGAATAGTGCAAGCATAGAATATATAAATGAGGATATGAATGGTTTTGTTTATTGTACATTAAAAAAGGGGGATATTGCACATTGTTGGTCTACTGGGAGCATAGCTGGTTGTGGAGTTACACAGCAGAGGGGAGAAAGGACCTGCAGTACCTCTCTCTGGAGCAGCATGGTTTAAACCTAGCCATGGCTTTGTCCATTAATTGCGACATCATTAAATGCCTTTATTTATTTAACAGCGGTCTGTAGCAGTTTTGGAAAACACAGAGGAATGATTGGGTCGTGCTGATGAAGGAACATTATGCTGTTTAATTTGTAAGACTTGGTCAATGTGACACTAAAAGAGAAACTACAACAAGAGCAACTGCTGTGACTGCCACTCATTTCCAACCCAGAGCTACGTGTCAGTCAGGACTGGACATTGTCAGATTGAGGTTGTATGTTGTATGATCCTGATATTAAACATTTTCTCATTGACTTGTGACTTAAGCAGCGTGGAGACTGTCAGTTTACACTGTCATCATTTAATTTATGAAAACTAGCTGACTGATGTAAAATCTGTTTCAGCGTAATTCATATCTAAATTAGAAGGACACACAGAGAGCAAGGACCTCTACCAAGGCCAGCTTTTAAGAAAGTAATCTGGATCAGAACCAGAATATTATAGGCTCTTTCTTTGCCATGGACCCAACTGTCCACCAAGTTACTTGAAATCTGGCTTGGTAGTTTTTGCATAATCTGACAGACAGACTGGAATGAAAGCACAACCTCCTTGGCAGAAGTAGCTATGAGAACACTGGGTATCCTGTAGTCTTTGGTTTTAGGGTGTTCACTGAACCTGTACCATGCCCTGGACCTACAGATGGGTGACAAATTCAAGAAAAAAAATGTCTTGGTGAGGTGTTGGGTGAAAGCCAGAACATCCTTCGTAAACTTTGGCAGTGATTTTTGAAGTCTCTGAAAAAGTCTCATTTTCCCAACAGATATTGTTTAATTTGGAGTTTTGATGAAAGTGGAGAGTGTCTGTCAACAATCTCCTGTAGGTGTTCAGTTGTGATGAGTTCTAGTGACTATGTAAGCCACAGCCTGTGATTGACATCAGTTAGGGTGAGAGGTTGGGTTTTTTCTTTTAATTTCTTATCTGTCTGTATATGTTGCATGTCACAACCACCTCTCAATCCCTCACAACTGTCCAGCAAAGACACAAAATGATAAATAGGAGGAAAGATAGTTCAGTCTCTGGATCATTTTAAATACAGGGCCAAAACTAACAATTACTTTCATTTTCATTTGGTGCAACAGAAAGCAATCACAATTTCTTCAAGCCCGTGGTAACATCCTCGTATTGCTTCTTTTGTCCAACCACCTGCCCACTTACTGACAAAAAAAAGCAAGAAAAATCAATAAATCATCACAATCTAGAGGCACCTTTTAACCTTTCAGAGGGACCTGTGGTGAAAATTTGTTGTTGTGCCCCTAATGATTCTTACAACACACAGCCGTTCCTTCCCCAGGTACCAACCAGTGCTCCAGAGGTGAAACGATTCCTTGAATAATAGGTTTACAGATATTCAGTTGGCAACATTTTTCAAAACAGAAAATAGTTTAGATGTTCTAAAGCCAGATTAACAAACACAATTCTGATACTTTTTTTAAAAATGATTTTTGTATTGGTAAACTAATATTTGAGAGGTTTTAACTACTAATCAGAAAAATATGTTTGTGTAGTTGTTTATTTGGACTTCTAGAGGGAACAATGTGTGTGTATATATGTGTGTGTGTATGTATGTATACAAACTGTTGCCCAGAAAGTTGGAATCATTTTTGTTTTCAGACACATTCCTCTTTTTGTTTCTATTTCTACACATGAGTTTTGACCAAGTGAAATTATTAGAGTCCCAGTTACCAGGTGAAATGAATCTGACTGAAGAGTGGAACATCCTGCCCGTTAACACCATCAACAAGCTGGTGGACAGAATGCCACCATGTCTTAATGTATTGATCTGTGTCAGGGGTGGCCATAGTCAATATTAATGACTGAGTGACATTTCAAAGAGTAATACTGGACATTCTTATGTATGAAATCCCCTCAAATATACGTTTCCTGTTAAAGGGACCAAGGTTGAAAAACTGAAACAAAACCTTTAATCCTGTTGTTCAACATCCCCAATTTAGTTTAAGCCTGAAAACACAGTTTGCAAAAGTTAATTGTGGTTTGATTTTTACTGTGATATGTACATTGTGATATCCATAAAGTTTTGAGAACATACACACTTTATCAAGAATACATCACATGGTCACAATCATTTCATGAGTAAAGGTTAAATAACACATTTTTATTCCAGCTTTATGGGCAACAGTGTTTATATGTGTCTATTTACATTTTAAATATCAAGCAATTGATCATTTTTTAAAGAAAATAATTGTCAGATGTATTGATGATGAAACAATTAATGTTTACAGCCGTAAAGCAAAGAACGGGCGTGATAATGAAAAGCACAATTGCATTTGGTCTGTTTCTAAAATGCGCATTTCTGTCGTTGTGGCCATGTAGGGCCCCTGGAGGCCCCCTGAGGATCCAGACCTGCACGTCCCGCGAGTTCTCAAATCAAGTCCTCCTATTTTACTTTAATAATTTATTCTTGACAAACACAGCAGGAGAGACACAGGCTGCTCTCTCTCTCTCTCTCTCTCCCTGTGTCTCTCTATCAGCTGGGTTAATTCTCAGCGGACACTGATGCGCACAACAAGGCCTTTCTCCCTCCTCTCTCTCTCTCCTCCCCCCTCTCTCTCTATGTCTCTCTCTGCCTCCCCAGGTTCTCTCCTCTATCCCGTCTCCCCTCCTCTGCTCTGCACCTGCTCCTCCCCTCCTGCCTTATTATCCTCAGACTCAGAGCAGCGCTCCGTCCTCGCCAAGTGATGCTCCTCGGCGGCGCACATCGGAGGCTTGTCAGCGCCTGCTGCAGGGAGGACCGCTCCGGCTTGTTTTTCTCCTCTGGAAAACACGCACTTAAGGGCGGCTGAACATGGGAATTTAACGGGGCTTGCGAGAGAGTGAGTCGAAGGAGGGCAGGACGACGAAGAAGTACACAAGTCCCATCCGAGAGCCGAGCAGGAGGAGGAGGAGGGGGGCTCCGGGGAAACGGTCCCGCCGGGACGGGGGACGCAGCGGATGGTTCTGAGCTTTACATAGTTTGGAATGGACTCAACTCGCTGGTTTTGGTTGTTTGGTTGTGCAGAGTGAGGTTACGGGATATAAAAAGGAGGCTTTCGGAGTTGCGGTCGGTCGTTCCTTTCTGTTTGTGATGGAGTGAGTGAAAGAGAGGGCGCACGGCAACTTCACACTCGCCATGAAATCAGTGTTTCTAAGCCGCTTCTTCATCCTGCTGCCCTGGGTCCTGATTGTCATCATCATGATCGATATCGACAGTAAAAGGACAATCCGGGCTCCAATTGCCGGTGGGACCGGCAGGGCGCAGCGGGCGGCCCGAACCGGCGCACCGGGGGTCGGTGGCGCCCAGAACCAGTCCGCCCTGCCGGTCATCTACGCCATCACTCCGACCTACACCCGCCCGGTGCAGAAAGCGGAGCTGACCCGGCTGGCCCACGCCTTCCGCCAGGTGCCCCGGTTCCACTGGATCGTAGTAGAGGACTCGACGGCGCGCACGGAGCTGGTGGCGCGCTTCCTGGCCCGGTGCGGCGTGCCGTACACGCACCTGCATGTGTTCACTCCCCGCAGGTTCAAGCGCGCCGGGATGCCACGCGCCACCGAACAGAGGAATGTGGCTCTCGCGTGGCTCCGGCAGCACCGGAGCAGGCGGGACACCGGGGTGGTTTTCTTCGCGGATGACGACAACACGTACAGCCTGGAGCTGTTCGAGGAGGTACCGTGTTCCCTTTCTGTTCGCCCGGCATCATTCAGAGTCCCCATTAGAGAAAAGTCGTGGGGTGAGGTGGGCTTGGAGAGGGGAGGCGCTGTCACAGAAATAACACACCATCTTTGACTTTACACAATTCACATAAATTCATTTAAAGCTCTTTGTGTGAGAACATCATCCCCCCAGTGGGCCACTGAGCTCTGTTAGAACCACGTTTACAACAAATATAATGTACAAGTTTCCTGTTCAGTCCAACACAAAGACATCACATCTTATTTTCTTGATCATGGTAACATGTATAGTAAGTACTTGCTGCAGCAGTCAGATAAATAAAAAAGAAGGCTACCTGAAATCTGTCTAAATGAAAATGCGTTCCATCTGGAGGTAATTCTGGCTTCCAGCATTTGGAAAAAATGTGGATTTTATCACACAGATGCAGCTATCAGGAATCTGTATTATACAGTCCCCATTCACAGCATCCACCCTGTCAGGGTAACGCTTCTCACTGGGTTTGTGCTGCGCTCTAGTCGTCATTCTGCACTGAAAAGTCATTGTTAGGTATTCCCCAAGCAGGCTGATTTCAAAGAAATTCAAACATGGAAATTCTCAGATTTTTCATATTGACAGCATCCCATTAGAGCCCTGCTTAAACACCCTGGGGAGGCTCCAGACCCACCAAACTGGTCAGGAGCATATTCACACAGAGAGTGTGTAAAAAAAAAATGAGTGAAGAGAGGAAAAAAAAAAAGCAGATGAAGACAAAGAGGGAGCAGCGACTGAGAGACGGAGAGATGAGGAGGGTGGATGAGGCTGTGGTGGAGCTGGTGATCGGGCTGTTTGGGATTCACCAGATCTCGCAAATCTTTATCTCATCAGCAGCATCGCTGTCCAGTTCTCTACTTATCACTCGCCAGCGCTGAATTAGTAGGCAGGACTGTGTTTGTGTGTGATTATTTAGTTTCCTCCAGCTCGTGTGAGTCTCAGGGTGAGACGGGGCTAATGGAGATGCTGAATGGAATGATAGATTTAGATTTTTATATATTTATATTAACTTAGAATATTTCATGCTCCTTAATTATTACGCCTCTCAAGATGTAAAACTCTCTGAGGCAGCATTGAGACTAATACGAGGCTCTAGTCCTGTGATACATAAAACCATATCGACTAACTGTAGGCTACAAATTGGACTACATGATATGCCAGTATTGATCTTACATATTGGCAAACTGATGCATGCATGTAAACCAGCTCAGGGTCTGAGAGTGTGGTAATGTGGGACATGTTTGTGTCTACGTGTGCTTCTGTTAACAGTCAGGTGTTGTTCATATTAATACACCGCTGTTGTCCAAGGCTGCACCAGACTTCTGGGTAATGAAATGAAATTCAATTGAAGCATCAGAAGCAACAAATAAATCCTCCCACTCTCAGAAATGCACAAACAAACTGGAAGAATGCTTCTGATTGCTGATTGCTCCTCACTCTGATTATCGCTATTCAATCAGAGCCGCCCTCAAATATGAAACTGCATTAGTTGGTGCCAAAAAGTACAATTTTCAGAATGCTGAACATTTTGATGAACTGTAAATTAGCTGAGATTATTAATAGTATAAATCTGCATCAGCCTGGTTATGTTCTTTTCTCTCTCTGCGCAATTTTTTGGCCCTTTGCAGAATGAAAAATGAATGTTGATGTTTTCTTCTGTCTTTGAAAGCTGTGCGTTGAGCAAAAGGCCAGGATGCATTTACATTGTTTATTTGAGCTCTGCAGTCTCTTCTTTTCATTTGGTTTTCTAAGAAGTCTGCTTCATTATGAGAGACAGGTCACTTTCAGAGAAAAGCAGTAAACATCAGCATCCCTAAAACCGGAGATGGGAAAAATACCCAGCACAGTTTCTTAAAAATGATGTTCAAACCACAAGAACAGGCAGTTTACAGTGACACGAGACATTTAAAAAAAACTGTTCATCCTTACATTTGAGAAGCAAAACAACTGAATATCTGTAATTTTGACAGATACATTATTTAATAAAGATTCATTATTGACATTCTCTGTTATTTTAATCTATGGATCAGTTCAGCTCGACAGGGTTTCATATAAAAGTAAACAGACGGTAAACTGGCAGTAAGGAATTTCTTTATTGCTAAAAAATAATAGAGTTTTTTTGGTGAAAAAGTACAGAAATGCATCGAGCTTAATTGAAATTATGGTTAATAATAAGGATTTAAATCTTACAAGGCTCCTCTATCTAAGGAGGATGCCAGGCTTGACAATGCTAGAGAACACCTCTGTGAGGCTTCACTTAATCCCACTGCTGGTTTTAGCTAAACGCTAATATTCACATGCTCGCAATGACAGTGCTAGCACACTGATGTTCCCTGATTTAGTGAAGACAAAGAGATTAGCCTAGCTTAGCATAACACAGCTAATCCCTACAGCATCATTTTGGCATCAGCATTGAATTAGTTCCAGAATTGTTTTTATTTTGTTAATGTTTGGTAATGTCAGATTTTAAGTCATAATTCTGACCAGGAAGATTTAAATTCCTCAAAAAAATGATAGCAGAAAAAACTGACATTGTGATGTCTCGTTTTTTCTGCCACAATCTTAAAAAAATACAGGAACTTCCATCAAATGACAAAAATAACTTTATTTGGGAAAAAAAATTACCTTCTAGAATGGTTAGGGTGATTGTGTGGAGGACTAAATCTCCATAAAAAATAAAATAATAATACTAATAAAAAAAAGCAGAATAATGTTTTTTGTTTTACTGTGAAAACCTTTTACAAAGAGTTTGGGACCTTTTTCATATGCTGATGAAGAGATGTGAAAATTAATTTTTTTACTGTGGCTTCCTCTCAAATTTTGTGGTGCTTAATTGGTCCTGTAGCCTCATGTGGGGACAACAACTGGAAGACACTGCCAAAAGTGTACCTGCTTGTAGTCAACATTGTCCCTTCTGTAGCCAAAGTACTCCCATACAATTGACCAGGACGCGAGATTATCACCAAAATGATAATCACAATCCTTTTGATCAAAATTGGGGTCATGATTCGCCTGTTTTTCACAAGTATTCATTGACAAATATTAGCATTTATAATAATTTTCTATTCTAATATATTTTGTAGCACTTTCAATAAGATGTAAAATACGCTTCTTTGTGAATTCCCTTGCTGCACATCTGCTTTTTGACAGACACTACAATTTAGTTATGTTCCCTAACCTCACATAAGCCTCTAGTCACCACTCAGTTACTGCAGCGCTGCAGCTCAGACAGGTGTGTGACCAAAATGATTCTGAAAAGAGCGAAATGAGGCGTTCCAGTGTCAGATTTACCCAAGTTGAAACTAAGTGACTTTGTCTACATGGCCTGTTTTCTATGAGCAGAGCATTGTAAATGTCAATGTTGTGTCCACTTAATTGAGGGAAGCCAAAGTTGTGATTGTGGCTAATATTCCATTAATTATGCAGCCCTATAACTGAAGTTGCTTTTGCATTGTTGCAACCAAACCGCCCTTTTCCGTGCTTCTCTTGTTTTCCTCACTCATTTTGCTGCACATGTGGAGCCTGCATGTCGACTGAGTGTCTCGTAAATAAACGTCCAAGAGCCTTTAAACCAGAGTTAATGACGTTCCAACAGACAGACTTCTCTTGTTGATTAGCCGTTGAGTCGTACAAGTTCTAGCATGATGTGTTTGATTTCGTTTGCCTCACTTCACATCGCAGTTTCCGCAATGTGAATATTTTGCATGCACACATCACAGTGTCAATACTGAAATGACGTATTGTGCAGCCCTTTGTCCGTCTTTGTGCTCACTAGTATGGAAGTACCAGGAAACCAATATGGATGCTTCACATCAGCCACACACTGTTGATCAGTCGAGATAAATACACACTTTAATGGAATATGATGCTATATTGTCAATGTATAGCATTCTAATACTCACACCACCAACTCTGCAATCATGTAACCGTCTTGATGACATAAATGCCAAGTTGTTAACATGGGAATCATTCTCATCTCCGCCATCGATCCAGCCGTCATCTGGTTACAAACAGCCGACAGATCCAATCAATCAAAATGCGGCAGAGTTAATTCTCCCCATCAGTTCAGGCTAAAGAAATCCTGCTTTAATTTAAATCCTGCTGACTTCAGAAGGCTTTTCCCTGCGTTGCTTCCCCTGAATGCAGCGTGAGGACAAAAATCACCCAGCATCCTGAACCCAGAGTACCAAAGCTTAGCCTACTCTGACGCACAGTCCTGGTGTTGGATTCGATGACTGTGGCTCAGTGTGAAGAGCATCTGTTTGATTTGTTGATAGCACACTGTCTTCTCTCTGCCCTCCTTCCTATTTCATTACCCAGCTCCTCTGTGCAGGTAATGGCCTGTCATAGAGAGATAATAGGCTGTCATACGGCAGTAATAACCTGCAGAAACTGTCTGCAGGCTTTAGACTGATGACAGTAACTGTGCTTACTGTGGGTGGCAGCTTCACATTAGAAACCCTTATATCATTTGAGGAAGAAAAATGATTGAGGTAACATTTAAGCAACTTAAATATTATTTTACCATGACCCTAGGTAATAATATTTCTTCAAGTAATCCATTGTACGTTTTTAATATTGTGCCAGCTGTGGTTTTGTAAAATGAGGCATTGAAGGGTGGGTGTGGATTTTATCAAGGCTTTTAATACCATAGTGCCTTGCTGGCCGTGTTCATAGTGTGAGAGCACAAAACCTACAGTCCTCATCCTCTTATGTTATATAGTTCTGTATCCATATTGGAATTGAGGGACTTCAGCAGTCAGTATAGATAGACAAAATGTACCCATATGCCATATGGATATAAGAAATGGATGACCAGCAGTATTATTTTTGGTTCATTCATTGTTGCTGTGCATTGAAAAAGAATCAAATATGTGAAAAAATTCCTAGAAACTGACAGCTCATGACTACACATGTACTGTACAGTGACATGTTGGCCCACATTTTTATGAAAAAAAAATATT